CCACATCTCGAATACTGCGTACAGATGTGGTCTCCTCATCTCAAAAAGATATACTGGCACTAGAAAAGGTTCAGAAAAGGGCAACTAAAATGATTAGGGGTTTGGAATGGGTCCCATATAAGGAGAGATCAAAGAGGCTAGGACTCTTCAGCTTGGAAAAGAGGAGACTAAGGGGGGATATGATAGAGGTATATAAAATCATGAGTGATGTGGAGAAAGTGGATAAGGAAAAGTTATTTACTTATTCCCATAACACAAGAACTAGGGGTCACCAAATGAAATTAATAGGCAGCAGGTTTAAAACAAATAAAAGGAAGTTCTTCACGTAGCGCACAGTCAACCTGTGGAACTCCTTACCTGAGGAGGTTGCGAAGGCTAGGGCTATAACAGCGTTTAAAAGAGAACTGGATAAATTCATGGTGGTTAAGTCCATTAATGGCTATTAGCCAGGATGGGTAAGGAATGGCGTCCCTAGCCTCTGTTTGTCAGAGGCTGGAGATGGATGGCAGGAGAGAGATCACTTGATCATTGCCTGTTAGGTTCACTCCCTCTGGGGCACCTGCATTGGCCACTGTCGCTAGACAGGATACTGGGCTAGATGGACCTTTGGTCTGACCCAGTACGGCCGTTCTTATGTTCTCTCCACAAGAAGAGTTCAAAAGTCTTGCTGGATTTCCAGCATTTTACTGTATTAAGTGTGTGAGTGCTTCTGACATATCAGTCACCTGCGCTGGGGTCTGTAGGAATTTCTCTCTTCTCTGCATCTCCTTGATCCCCGACACTTAGCTCCTCCCCTCGTTCAATCCGGGATAGGATGTCAGGTTTGGAAACGGCATAGTCTGTTCATAGAAAAAGATATTAAGGGACAGTATATAGTAATAGGTTGATTTGCATGAGTCTGTCCTCCCACAGTATGTATGTATATCACTGCATTCTACTGGATGGGCGTATCTTTTGAGGGCTGCAGCCACCACAGAATGATTTAGGAATGGGAGGAAGGAAAACTTCTGCTACTGCTTCCAGTTCCTCCCCTCCAGTTCCATCTTATCTCCTCCATGGCAGCAGCCACACTTACATTCCAGGCTTGTAATGCATATATTAGCCACAAGAGTCAGAGGATACAACAGAGATATTTAACCATTTGTAAGCCTGACCCATGCCAGGTGACTAAGGACAGGAATGAAAGACAAGCCTCTTACCAGCACAGCAGTATGTCACAACCCTACCAATCCATGTATCCTTCAGGAGTAGCAGCTAGTGCTCTAGTACCTTTCATTAAAGATTTTGAGTTATTTTAGTTCATCCCACTGCTAGAGGCTAGAACAGAGGCAAACGTGTTACTGAAGGCATTGTAGGGGGAAACGCCAGGTGCTATGAAGTACTGAGTCAGAGACAGTACGTTGTCTGATGCTGCCCTCTAGGCTGGCCTCACACAGAGGAGAAGGGATTACTCCTACATAGGTGCGCTCCGTTAGCTCAAGTGGTAGAGGACTGTGTCTCTACAGCTGAAGTAGCATGGTCCCAAATCCCAGCAATCTGGGGATACGAGAGATTTATAAAGCAATTGTGTCAGTTGTCAGCCCCTCATGAACTTGTTACAGAGGGAGATGTGTGTGCGCTTTCTGGAAGGGTGCCAGAGATCTCCACACACAGGCAGATTTGTAAGTTCTCATACTGTTCCCACCACTTCAGTATCCATGCCCCTTGTAAATCTGCCCAAAGTCCAGGTCCCATAAGAGGCCAAGGTCAAGCCAAGAAAAAGCACAATGCTTATTAAACAACAGTGTTATCTAAAATTGAGATTGTAAATATACAAGTCAGGAACAATCAAAGTTATGATTTCCAAATAAAACAGTCATTTGAATGCATAAACATGGAGATAAATGCAGCATGTGCACATTCCACACTGCAGAGAGCTGGTGTTTTAAACCCTACAGTGTTAAAAACGGAATGGATTGGAATGCCACGGGTCATGCAGACAGCAAAGGGAGTTGAGCCGATATCACCCAGTTTCCAATAACTAGAAGGGCCAATCACCAGAAATCAAAGGACCGGAGCAAAAGAGCAAAAACTGATCTTTACCCAGTGACATCAACGTCTCATAGTTGCTTTTCATCACATTCTTGTAAAGTTCCTTCTGCCATTCCTCTAAATTCCCCCACTCTTGCTCATTGAAATAGACGGAGATGTCATCAAATGTTACTGGCACCTGGAATCACAAATGCCACACATTCAGCACCTGCTGTTGTGATCACATTCTGAGGCTTGCTTCCTTTTATCTTCCATTAAAAAGACTTCCCTCACTTTTGTTTCCTGTGAAATAAAGTACTAAACATATGTAATTGTGAACTACCACAACACAAGCAGCCAGATCAGTTCCCTTCTTCTAAGCCATTTTATTAATGGTGAATTAAAGGGCGAATATACCAAGTTCTGGGGGGAAAAAAACCCACCTCAATAGTTCATGGCCAGGCTTTGTATCTACTCTTCATCATTAGCTGGGATATCGTTACCTTGGGAACTTCCCCCTTAGACCCTGGGGGGAGCCTCAGGACCCAGAAGTTCCTGTTCTTCAGCAGGTTCTCCATGTTCTCCAGCCTCCTCTGCAGCAGCCCGTACTCCTGGATCAGAGTTCCCAGCGCGGCCCACTTACTCTCCAGCTGGTTCCCAAACTCCACCACCGTTCTCTCACAGCCTATTAGTTTCTTCTCAGTCATCCCTGTTCTCCCGTCCAGATTCAGCAAACACGCAGCATGAGAATCAACCCTCCTCTCCATGTCTTGAATAGCAGCCACAACAGTCAGGGAAATCTCTGCACTCTGCAGTTGCGTCTCTCTCAGCGAAGTTTGTTTGAGGCCGGTGGGGGGATGCAAAAGTGTCAGGTGCTGGGATTCTAGGTCCCATTTTGGAGCCTGTTAGCAAGGACAGAAATTGAAAGTGGGGCATGTGACATTGATACATCTGGCAGTCTCCTTTCCCCATCTCGTCAAATGTTCGTCTAGCACCCCAGCACAATGCAGCTCCAACTGTAATGAGGGTAGTAGGGTTTTACAGTAGTTTAAATAAAAATAATATGGAAATGAGAGTCAGGCTACCTTCTTTCCCAATCATGTACTACTGCCAGTAATAAGTGTTCAGCAGAGCAACTTTTACCCTTATGGCTATTTTGGCTTTAAATTATGCCCTCTTTGACACACCTATAACCCCCACTGTCTTCAGCAGGTTTTCACAGGTGTGAACGAATGAAACCTAAACAAGTCGGTTATTGACATACAAGAAACAGAATCCAGCGAGCTGCGCTGGCTGACAGGAGCAAAAAGCACTAACCACTTATTTTTGTCCTTTGAACACACAGCTGTAGTTTTGAGCAGCTCCCTGGAGTATGATGGTGCAAGGCAAAAAGACGCAGCTGACGGTGCAGGGTACTGGGCAACGCGTGCAGGGAAAGGAGACGGGAGAGCCCAAGGCTGCTCGCCAGCTGAGCGCTGCACACTCACGAGTGGGATTGGTTGGGTGGCACAGGGGGTTCGTGAGGCCATGGTGCTGTTAAAACGTGCTCCACATCGGGAGCCTGGGAGAGTTCTGCGGGGAGGGGAGTCAGTCCCTGCAGCTGGGGGAGCAGCAAAGACCCGGTCCCTGTTCCCCGGACCATCAGCAAATGGCCCCGCACAAGCTGGAGATGGCCCCAGAGTCTGAGGGCATGGCTACACTTGCAGACGTAGAGCGCTGTGAGTTAAACTCGCCTTCGGAGAGCGCAGTAGGGAAAGCGTTGCAGTCTGTCCACACTGACAGCTGCTTGTGCACTGGCGTGGCCACATTTGTGGCACTTGCAGCAGCATTGGGAGCGGTGCATTATGGGCAGCTATCCCAGCATGCAAGTGACTGCAACGTGCTTGTCAAATGGGGGGGTGGAGTGTGACAGGGAGTGTGTTGTGTGTATGTGGGGGGAGAAGAGTGGGGTTTTGGGGGGGCGGAGAGCATGTCAGCATGCTGTCTTGTAAGTTCAGACAGCAGCAAACCTCCCCCTCTCACACACAGCATTTCACACTAATGGCTTGCATGCCGGCTGTCAGAAACAGAGCTTTGAAAGGGCATTGCTGCATTCCTACAGGAGTGCAAACCAGTGACAAGAGAGGCCACTTGACTTAAGGGGATTACGGGACGTTTCCGGAGGCTGATCAGAGCGCAGTAACCCAACACCGTGACCTCGTTCACACTGACGCCCGGGCGTTGCAGCCAAGGCGCAGCAAACGTTATTCCTCGCGCCGAGGTGGGTACCGGCAGCGCTGTCGCCGCGGAGTCCGAGCGCTCTACGGGCCTTGCCAGTGTGGACGGGGAGCGAGCCGGGGCGCCCGGGGCTCCTTTATTGCGCTGTAACTCCCAAGTGTCGCCAAGCAGAGAAACACAAACCGGATCAGTTCGGGCTCAGCCCCAGCCCGGCCGGGCAGCCCCGCGCTCCCCGCGGCCCGGCTCCCG